CTTCCCTGAAATTTACTCTAAGAGACAAAAGAGATATCTTTTTAAAGGTGTAGTTCTGAAAACCACTAAACATTTCCATTAGCAGAATAGAAGTTGCTAGAAGCTTCTGGTAGATAAAAAGCTGGCAACAATGGTTTGGTAAGGGTACAGGAAGAGCTAAGCCTGCAAAAAGACACAAGAGAAAAATGGGTAGAAGATAAACGCTGATCCAGAAAAAGCCCATTTCCAGAATGAAAATAAAAAGAGCAGGGAGGCACCCTGGAAGGCAATGACCAATGTAACTGCAAAATATTTTTCTAAGCAAAAAGGCTAAGCAGACCCTTCCCTTCGAATACTGAAGAGCCGGAAGCAGCTGACTCTTGGTGACAGTGACTAACATGGTGGTGGTGGTGGCTGTGCCAGTGAGGGTGTGGTGGTCATGGACAGAAGGAAGGTTGAATTGTACTTCACTTGTAGCCTTCTAAAAGGATATGGAAAGGAGTAGAAAAAGAAATGCTCAGTTTGCCTAAAAAAAAATAAGCTACAGTTCTTCAGCATCCTAGTTACTTTGGCATTGATGCCATATTTACATGTTCTCGAGTGAATAAAGACACTCAATATTCTTCACCACTCACACAGGCCCACACTTCTAGTCAAGGAGACTTCTTGAAGAAAACAGGTCTACACAACTGCCGTTATCTATACTAATCAATTAATCTAGTCCTTCACTAATCAATATAAATCAATGTCCAAATATCTAAGTCAAGTAAACTATAAAAATGGGAGAGGATAACAGTGATGATAAAAATAAACACATGACTCTGAAGGAAACAGATACTTCAAGGAAAAGAAAAATGCTGGAATTTAAGGTTTAATTTAGTTAGTACCTTCAGAGTGCTAAGAGACTACTGCAGCCAAGAAACAAGAGCAGATTGCTACAATGAAAGAGAAATCAGGGAAAAGAAGGGACTTCAACAAATCAGCAAGATGACTATTAGGTTTTAAAAATTAATGAAAGGCATAAGTATTAAGACAACTATGGACAAATTCCTAATAAATAAACTTGAAGAGATATTCAAGTCAGAACAGAACAAACATATACACACATATTCATGCACATGCATACACACACACACACACACACACTTGGAAAGTATAAGAGAATATTTAAGAAACACACAAGTCCAATCCAAACAATGCAACAATCATCAAACAGGAGTCTCACAGGGGAAAAGACTGAGAAAATGAAAAGAATAAATACTTGTTTTACATATTAGAAAAAAATATGCAAAACCTGAAGAATGAACTAGTTCTCACATTCAAAGAGTTCACTTAGTACTGAACAGGATGAAATTTTTTGCAAAATAAAACTAGTGAAATTTCAGGATTCCAACAACAAAAAATATAACTCAAAAAGCTGCCATATCTATTAGATAAAGGATCGAGACCAATGGAGACATTATATTTCCCACAGCAGTAGCACATGAGAAAAGAAAATGAACAAAGAGCTTCCAAATTCTGAATGAAAGTGATTTAGAGCATGTAATTCTCTGTATAAAAAATTAAGAACAGACCGGGCTCTGTGGCTCAGCCTGTAATCCCAGCACTTTGGGAGGCCGAGGCGAGAGGATTTTCTGAGCCCAGGGGTTCGAGACCCGCCAGGACAACTTGGTGAGACCCCGTCTCTACAATAAAAAAAAAAAACTAGCCGGGTGTGGTAGCACGCGCCTGTAGTTCCGGCTACTTGGAAGGCTGAGGCAGAAGGATTGCTGGAGCCCAGCAGGTTGAGGCTACGGTGGCCGGGAGCGTGCCACTGCACTCCAGTCTGGGCGACAGAGTGAGACTCCAACTCAAAAATAAATAAATAAATAAGAACAGGTATAATCCACACATCTATTTTATAAATTATTGAATTTATATTCTCATCAGATAAGTATACTGGGTCAAATTCATATGTTTAAGATTAGTGCAAAATATCCTTATGAAATTTGTTAAGTCTTCACTAAGAAAGTGAAATGAAAAATTTTAGGTAATTATTTGACGAATGTAGGCAAATAATGCCAAAAAAAGAAAGAATAGAAAGAGACAGAGAGGGGGACAAAGAGACAAGAAGAGAAAGGCAGAGAAGAAAGAGAAAGAGACAAGAAGAAACACAGACAAAGTGAGAGACAGACCAGGATGGAGACAGAGCACGAGGAAGAAAGAACTGGTGTTTATATCATCAAATTCAAAAAGAAACTGAGAAAGTTCAGGCACATTCCCAAGAAGCTTCACGTCTCTTTACCTGTAGAATCAGATGCCAATTTTTTTAGGAAAAAAAAAAAACTGTGTTGATGTTTATTAGACCTTATATATAGTAAATATATAACATTTTTTAAAAAGGGCTAGGTTTATGAGGGACCCAAAAAACCTCCGGAATTTATCAAAAATTGTGTATTTATTCTTACATTTTAAACTTCAGTCACCTTCAAAGTACTCTCTTGTTCGATGCAATACAGCTATCAAGATGCTTTTTCCACTGTTTAAGACAGGTTTTTAACTCATCAATTTTGATACCTTTTAGTGTTTCTGCTGTTTTTTGCTTCACCTCTTCCACATCAGCAAAACTTTTCCTCTTGAAGACTTTTCTCATTGAGAAAACAAAAAAAAAGTTGCTTGGGGTGAAACTGGGTGAATAGGAAGGGTTGGGCATGGGAGGTCATGAAGTTTTTGGTCAAAAATCACTAAACACTCAGCATGATGTGGGCAGGTGCAATGTCATGGTGGATGAACCAGTCAACTGTTTGCCACAAAAAATTTCACTGAAGCTGAACGCAGCCTCTCACAACACTAGCTGGTTGCAATAGGTTCCTAGAATACTTACCTGGGGGGGAACCTGTACTTAACATAAGGGGTCTACCGTCCAAAAGATAATTCTGGTTGTTTGGGGGACTCCCTTGTATATGGTTTTTTACATGAAAACAAGAAACAACCTAAATTTTTAAAGTATTGTATACAATGTCAGGATTTTACTTACTTTCATTTCACTGACTGCCCCATCTTTCCAGGATAGCACAAGACCCCTTTCACTCCCTGGAGTACATGGCTTTTCTTTTGCCACTCTCAATTCACTCTCTAACTGGGGCTTCAACAGCAAGACTGAAGGAGAAAGGAGGGCTGACGGAAGGAAAAACCCTGGGTCTCACCTACCACAAATGTACCCACCAAAGCCCTCTCTCTGCCTTTCCTGGAGTTAGACAATGGGCAGTTTATTGCACCTGCATTTCTCAGAAAAGCAAAAGATTTTACTTTATGTTTAAAACATAAAATTTAACTTGAGAGATTCGGGGGAAGTCTATAGACCCTTTTCTCTTTCACAATTTGCTAAGGAGAAGAAAAACCTAAGTTGGAGGTAGCTGGAAATAAAAGCGAAAAAAAACATGCTGGCGAAGTTTTTAGGACCCCTTTTGAGATGATCTGGAAGATAACTGAAAAACAACCCAGGGAATTTAAACCAGCAAAAACTTTTCTCTGATGGGCATCTTTCCCAGGACACCTGTAACTGATGTCCTTGTCTCATGTTGTGGGAGTCACCTTTCCTCAGTTACAGTTGTAGAAAATCCCACCATCCAGAAAGACACGGGTTTCAACTAGGCTGAAAAGTTCCACAGCACAGACCTCAGAATGCATTTACCACAGGTATATCGTGTAGGGCAGAAGACTCTAGAACTGTGCTGTTAAATGCATATGCTGCAATGCCACATGTGACTGTTTCGATTTAAATCAATTAAGATTAACAAAATAATTAATTCAGTTTCTTACTCACACTAGCCATATTTCAAGTGCTGGTAGCCACATGAAACTGGGGCTACCACAATGGACAATATGGAAGCAGACCATTTCCATCACAGTAGAAAGTTCTGAAGGACAGTGTTACTCTAGGACTGGCATAAATGCAAAGGTTAACTGGGCCTATATGAGCTTCCCTGGCCATTACCCAATGTGATTAATTCATCCAAGATAAGACATGACTTACAGACAACCTAAAGTAACTTAAATTGGAGATTGTCTTCAACCCTAATTTCCTCCTAATAGTCTTGAAGTTTTAATGTATGTCATTATTGATATTATAATTAATCAGATAGGAAATCTAGATCAGAGTGATTAACTTACTTGCCCCAGGCAACTTGTCACTGCAGCTGAATAGCAAATTTCCTTTTTTCTGTATACTAATTACTCAGAAAGTTCCAAGAATCCTATCTGCATAGAACCTAACCTAGAACCTCACGCAGAAAATGTATTCGTAAGTACTTGTTGCATCAATGATGCAATTATTGTAATACCACGGTGCAATGAAAAGGAGTAAACATCAGGCGGAGCTAGTAATAAAACAAATGAAGACCTCGGAGAGCAAGATTAATAGCCTCAGAAGTAAAACTGTGGCCATGGAATTGCTAAGGATAAGCTGGACCTTCAGCCAGCCATTTCTCACAAGTCACGTGATGCTTCCCTTGAGGTTTTCTGAATCATTCTCTTGCCCACTTAATTCATGCTGGTATCTTTCTTTTCTCTCAATCTCTCTTTTTTTTTCACCATTTAAATTTATCTGAACACAAAGGCCACTATACCTACTCTCTCATAACCACCCCCATTTAAACCAAACCACCTGACTTGCTTACAATACTTAAGTCCACTTCCTGGGACTCCTTTGCCTGACCACACAGTTTCCATTCAGTGCTTAAATTTAAGTGAAGCCTCTGTGTATCCTACCCACAAAGACTAGTTCCACATCCAAAGTAGTTACACTCCAACTTTAACAAAGAAGGAAATAAACTTAGTACTATGAGAAACTGCAGAGTAGATGATAAGGAATGATTGCTAAAGTTCAAATCTGTAAAAATGTGCATTGTCTATTTGACTTATTTTTCTCAAAAAGCTAGAATGGAACCAGCCACCCAGCCTTTTCTGACATTTCTTTTTCCACCCCAGTCCCCACCTTCCCAATCAAAACAAATTCCTTTTGAGCCGTGTTTATTACTTACAGGAGATCCACTGACTCCAAAGATGTCTCTGACATCCCTGACAGGCTGCTTATTCTTTTTCCTCATGGTTTGAGTATAGGTATTATATCTCTTTTTCACTGCAGCTGCTTGAGTCCGAGTCAATGTAGAGAGCAAGGCCTTGCCATCTTCCTCTTTGTCACCAGAGATCAGAGCTGATAAACCCACATCTTGCAACCACTCTGCTTCAAGTTCTCCTTCTGTAAAAGAACATCACCAAGGGAGGGTAAGGACATTTTCCATGTGATTGAATGATTTGTGTATCTGTAGATCTGTGCATATCAGATAAGAAATACCAGTAAGCAATATAAGATGTATTTTTTTCTACAGTTATTTTAAGAAAAGAACTATAAGAATGAAAGAATGAAAAGTCTGGGGTTTTTTGTTTGTTTTTTGAGTCAGGATCTCACTGTGTTGCCCAGGTTGGAGTGCAGTGGCATAATCATGGCCCACCGCAGCCCCGACCTCCTAGGTTCAGGCAATCTTCCCATCTCAACCTCCTGAGTAGCAGGGACTACAGGCATGTACCACCATGCCCGGTTAATTTTTAAATACCCAGCCTCAAGCAATCCTCCTGCCTTGGCCTCCCAAAGTGCTAGGATTATAGTTGTGAGCCACTGCACCCAGGACATGTTGCTTTTTAAAATGAGTCAAATTTTAAAATATTTTCTGGTAGAATAAGGTAACTGGCAGACTTGGTAAGGTCATTTTCCTTGCCGGAGAGTTAAATATAAGCCATATCTGGCCTATTGATTTCAACAAATAATACCATATAAATATTTAAACCAAAACTATAATTTTAAAATGGTCTAATGGAACACAAAAAGATTTTTTAATTACTCAAATGCATTTTCGAATCCCAGTGCCGCCATTTACTAGCTGAATAATTTTAAGTTTTAAGAGATCTCTAGGTCTTAGTTTCTTGTCAGCAAAATCAGTGCAGTGAATCCCTATAATTTTATGTTGCCTTGACATCTATTTTGGATTCTGGCTTAATTTTTTCATACCAGAAGTAAGGTTTAGTCACTCAACACAATTTCTAGTTTTCTACCTCCTCCCAATTCCTTAATGTGGCCGATTCAGGTACCTGCCATACTCAATCACCTCCTGGTGACCACCTCCCTATGGGACAGCTGTATACAACTGCATGACTCCTCCCACTGACTCACATACACTACATGAACTACGCAGATGTGCCACAGTGACCACTTCAGTCACAGTGTGACTCCATAGAATTTGTACCTGCTTGCTCTAAACACGCCAATTGGAACTCCCCACAGGAATAAAGGGTTTGGCCCACAGAGTTCTGTCTCTCCCTCCCTCCCTCCCTCTATCCCTCCCTCTCTCAGGGTTCTGTTCCTCCCTCCCTCAGGGTTCTGTCCCTCCCTCCCTCCTTCCCTCCTTCCCTCCCTCTCTCTTTCTCCTGTCTCTTCTGTTGCCTCCTCTGTGTCTCACCTGGCCAACACACCTGAAGCTAACTTTTTTCTTGGACACTTAGAAATCAGATCATCCACCGGATAAAGAAGTATCCAGTGAAAGGCACAATTTAAACATTCATGACCAAATACCTATAACTCCTCTAGGGCAGGGTTAGAGTTTATAGCCACTCTCTCTTGAGAAAGATCTCAAGACCAAACCAGAGAAAAAATACAACAAGGAGGGTAATAATAACAAGAGTATTAGGTGGCTATGAGGATTTTTAAAATCAATGTACTTATGACAGCAATTCATTCTCCAACTTTTCTTTTTATTCTAAACATTAGATAATCATTTCTTTTTTTCAGAAGGCTATTCAAAAACCTAAAATTCATCAATGAGAGTCAATTGCTATTGTAAACTAGATATAAAGAAACATAAGGAATTCAGAATAACAATGTCCTGTATCAGAAAATTCACTACACATACATTTCTGAGAACAATGCTAAACAGGCATTACCCAAATGAGAGCTGTTTAAGAGCAGATTAAAGTAATTTGTAAATAGCATGTCAAAGCGTCAGTGCAGGAGTACCAGACTCTGCTTACATTATTGCATCACTGGTGTATAAACAAAGTCTCTAATGTGCTTTATGGGTTCAAACTCTTAGCTAGGCAAATATTTTATTTGCTGTCTTGTTTTTATTGTTCATTTGCTTTTAAGTTGTCCCTTTAACAGAAATGAAAGGTGAATTTATGATTGGCAGCCTTAATCTAAACTAATACACCTTTTAAGTTAGTGAGTTATGACTTGGAAGTCTTTCTTTACTTATGTCTTAGATAGGATTTTTATTTCTGAAGACAAAGTTTATAAATATGGCTTAATATCAAAGTTTTAAAAATTGCTTTCCTCCCTCTACCTCTGTAAAGAATAATGAAAGATGCCGGGCTCAGTGTCTCAGCCTGTAATCCCGCGCCCTGCAAGGCTGAGGTGAGTGAATTGCCTGAGCCCGTGGGTTCGAGATCTGCCTGGGCAACTTGGCGAGACCTCATCTCTACAATAAATCAAAATGAGCTGGGCGTGGTAGCGTGTGCCTGTAGTTCCACCTACTTGGAAGGCTGAGGCGGAAGGATCGCCGGAGCCCAGCAGGTCGAGGCTGTGGTGGCCAGGAGCGGCCACTGCACTCCAGTCTGGGTGACAGAGTGAGACTCCAACTCAAAAAAAAAAAAGAATAATGAAAGAGTAATTGGTGGCTAGAGTAGACATAAACCAGGTATGAGTATGGTCGAAGTCCTTGGACTCTGACTGCAGAAAATGTAAGAAAATGTTTTCCACAGGCAAGAGATGTGCATGGCAGACATCAGTGTTACTCCTAGTTTGCTGAATTAGGTGCAGTGCATTCCTATGCTCATCACTCCAGTTGTCAAATGTATAGCTTCAACAGAGAGCACTCCTAAGAATTTCAGTTTCATATACCTAACCACCTATTCAATGTCTACTTGGCTCTATCAATCATATGTCTTATTCACTGTGTTCAAACCTGAACTCATATTCTTTGATCCCAACTCAAGGTTTCTTTCAGGATTCCACATTTCAATAAGAGAAACTCACTATCCACATAACTAGGCAAGTGAAAAACTCAGGTAACATTCTTGAGACCTTCTTCGCTTTCACACAACTCCAACGCCTTACCAAGACCTTTTGATATGATGTTCTTATTATTTCTCAAAATTGTCCACCTTCTTTTATCTCTTCGGCCATGATCCTGGTCACAGCTACCATCCTCTCTCCCTGCACTGCAAAAGACTCCCAACAGTTCTGCCTACAGTCAATCTTGACCCCCTTTCAATTCATTTTCCACTGTAACTAAATCAGTCTTTTCGAAGTCAAATAAAAATATTGTATTTTATTCTTAGGATTAAGAATAAACCCCTTGGCTGGGCTCGGTGTTTCAGCCTGTAATCCCAGCACTTTGGGAAGCCGAGGAGAGTGGACTGCCTGAGCCCGCGGGTTTGAGACCCACCTGGACAACTTGGCGAGACCTTGTCTCTACAATAAATAAAAAATTAGCCAGGTATGGTAGTGCATGCCTGTAGTTCTGGCTACTTGGAAGGCTGAGGTGGAAGGATTGCCAGAGCGCAGCAGATTGACGCTGCGGTGGCCGGGGACATGCCACTGCACTCCAGTCTGGGCGATAGAGTGAGACACCAACTCAAAAAAAAAAAAAAAGACTATAACCCTTAAGATGATCGACAAGATATGAAACTACTTACTTTTCTAGACACACTCATACCATGCTTTCCTCAACCCCTGTTCTCTGGCAAAACTGGCCTACTTTGGATTCCCCCAAAACTCCACATTCCTTATGTCACAAGGCCTGTGGACAAGTCAGTCTTTCTATTGGACCCCGTAATTAAAGACCACCAATCTTTTAGATCTCAGTTTATATATCCCTTCCTCAATGAAGTCATTTTTTCCCCCTGAGCCCATCAGACAAGGTCATGTCCTACTGCTGTCAATCCTAATACTGCTGTTTCTTTTTCTTCAAATAATTTTCTCCCCAAATTATAGCTATTTATATTTTTTCATTAGTTACTTTTTTCTTCCTCTAGATTACTAACTCTATTAGAGAAGGCAACATTTCTGCTTTTGCATATAGCTCAAACACCACCTCTTTCAGAGTGCTCAATTAGAGATTGTGTATTCCTTAACCTGCTCTAAAGAGAGTTCATTATAGTTCTAGCAGTTAACTTGACTCATACTCCCAACTGTTTTCCCTACTCTACGCAGCATCTGTAACTTTGGTCAGTTATTTTAGCCTTCAGCTGTTGTTTTTCATTGGGATGCTTGGAATCTGCTTACATATTCCCTAGCCCATTACCAGATCAAATGTGGGACAATTTGAGCATCAAAATAAATGAAAGTAAAAGACATACCCATGAAATAAACCAAGAGTCCATTCTGACATAAATATTTTGATGTATACTGGGATATTTACATAGTTTAAAAGTATCTCCCAAGAAAATGAGTAATAATTACAAACATGAAAAGATTAACTGCACATTGGAGAAACTTTGCATATACCACCTTAAGTAAGGTGGACATAACCAGTTAGTGGGAGAAATCAACATTGTGAGCCACCTGATAGGATGCAATGAGAGGACAGCACCACAGCCTGCCAAAGAGGTATAACCTGAATCTAAATCATCAGGCAACAGCAGACAAACCCCAATGGAGGAACATTCTACAAAATAACCTATAATCTTCAGAAGTGTCAAGGTCATAAAAATCAAAGAAAGATTAAGAAACTTCCAGGCGGTAAAAAAAAAAAAACTAAGGGAAACATGGCAATTAAACTCAACAAGTGATTCTAAATTACAGACTTTTGTGATAAAAAATAATACAGAAGCAAATAGCTAGAACTCGAATGTAGTCTTATGATTGAATGATAGCAATGTGTGAGAAATTATTTTTAGATAATTTCTTGATTTTAAATATGTACCTTGTGACTGGTGACTGTACAGGGACTCTCTCTATCTGTACACACACACACACACACACACACACACACACACACCACCTAAAGTACCTGTGAATAAGTGATGGGGCATCAGGTTGGCAAGTTAGTCTCAAATAGTCTCTGAAAAAAAGTTCTTTGAATTGTATTTGTGACTTTTCTATATGTTCGAAATTATTCCAAAAAATATATAAGAAGTACACAGACAAATTAAAGCAAAAATTACAACAGCGAATTGACATATGTACAACATATGTAGGTGCTATAC